CAATACTTTTTTCTCCTCTATCACAACCATGATGTTCTGTCCATTGATCAATAAGACGTCAACAAAACTCTCATGTGAAGGCAAGTACAACCACGAACAATCTTTTACCAAAATTATTAATCATAGTTGGTAAAATCGGTTGTTTATTTAATTAAAATAGAAAGGGGCAAATTTATTTGCTAAGGATGTGTATCAACATATAGAAAGTAAAATAGTATATGAAACTAGGTATACAACCCAGCTCCAGCGACCATGGAATGATCCCGAAACCCAAGCTACCAAGTACCACCTACAGTTGGTTTCGTCAAACCCTAATCCATCGCCACTTGCATCCTGACGGGTCAAACACAATCATCAACAGCAGTCGTTCCATCATCTATAAAACGAACACAGGAAAACGTAACCCAAGCATTAACCCATCAGCAACTGCTTTCAGTTCCAGCACTACAACACAAAAATAGAAAGAAATCTACACAAAAGGAAGAAATTGAAGGTATGATAATTAGACTTACAGATATGTCTCAATTTGTTCAAGTTATATTTCGAAATAATCAAAATATATATAATTTTAGGAGTAGTGATAGTGATTTTGTGAAAATAATCAAAATATATGTAATTATGAGAATAAATTACTATTTCTTTGGTCGTAGTACATGTTAAAGATACATAGTGTTTCATGATAATGAAAAGAGAAGTATACTCATATTTGAAAATGGGTATTTATGTGACGAAATTACTGGCAAGTATGGATGACTAAAAATCTTATTCTGTATTAGGAAAACTGGAGGAAGTAAAAACCAATTAATCATCGAATTTAAATTGCTAGCATGTAATTCAATTGCATTGACCATGAAGTGAAGATAGTAAAAGCACTAACCTGCAAAACATGATCAATTTGCTCGCTTCACTTCTGGTTAGTCTCTCATCATAATAGAGCCATATGATCTATTTTCTCAGGGATTTTCTGGTTCCTCTGCAACAAATATATCAATAATTTAAACAAATAAAACTAAAAATTTATATTGAATAGCTTTGCATTTATTGTCATCAACCTAGATGCATGGAAATCAGATTTCACTAATCCTTGCCATAAACAATTTCTTCCA